ATTTTTTTTATTTTTTTTTTTATTTTTTTTTTTGAAACAAATATTTTTTTTATGAAATAAATGTTTATCGAAACTTAAAAAAAAAAAAATCATATAAAAAAAAAAATCTAATAAAAACAGTTTGAATGTGTTTTATCATATTTGATCCATCAGGCTCTTATGGCTCATATAGTGTGATATAGTGAGAATATTGAGGAAAAAAGAGCTCAATTTTATTCAAAAACTGAGCAAAAATATGCAATCTGGAACAGATGCTGATATTTATGTAATGAAATTCTGATGTTTGTAATGTAAATCAATGAGATCTTTATAACAGTACAGCAGATACTGACATAAAATGCTATAAATATCAGTCGTCGCTCTATATCTCCAATAATCTGTCTCAGTTAGATGAGATTGAAATGATCCAAACATATAATGCAGTGATTGAGAGCTGAAGAAATAAAGGCTCCTCAGAAGATGTGAGATGTTCTGGAGGCTTGTGAAGATCATTCCTCCGCTGAGGAACAGTGAAAGTAAAGCTTCTGGAAACAAACGCTCCTCAAAAGATCCTGAGGATCAGATTTGAGACTCTAAAACATGATTGATGGAGAATCAAGTAAAGCTGAGCTGCTTCAGTCTGGAAATATGACTGCAGTTATTCTGACGTTTACTTGATAAAAATCAGTCAAGATTTGAGAGCAGAAAGACTCGTGAAGCTCGAGTTGAAGCTGGACGTTTCTACTATTACACTAAAAGAGCTTTTACTGGATAAAAAACTCCAAACTATCAATCAGACCACAGAAGACGTGAGGAGATTGAGTGTGAAACAGGTTTAACAGCAAAGTTGATCATGCTTATCAAATATAATACAGTAGCTTCACAGGGTTAATCCTTTATTCAGTAAATCACAACTGGACGTTGTTGTAAATGATCTTCCGTGCACCTGCAGAACGAAAGCTTCCTCTTTGACTCCCGTGTCGCGTTACAGACCTCGAGCTGGAATAACTGAGCGCTTCCCCGGAGTGTGCGTGTGTGTGTGTGTGTGATAAGGGCTGTAAGCGTATACCTGCTCCATTACTGTATTGGCAGAACACATCACGCTAAAGCAGCATTGATTCCAGTTCATTATGTGTATAGCAAAACCAATTTAGCTGAAGAGGCTGCGGACGCTCCTCCACCGACCCGAGCGCAAGCATCCTGATCCTGATTACTGCACCTGACCTCCACGCTCCCTCAGAAGGGAACACGGCGTCTAGCTGCGAGTGAGATCTGGGCATGTTTCCACTGTGAGATCTGATGTTGGGAACGCATTATAACAGCTGCAGCGGCGCTGATTAGTTGCATCATAAGTTCATAACATGTAAACATGTGTTTGGTACAGAACGAGGTGACGTTTTTGTATTAGGAGCACGTTAGCGTGCTCTCCGTCAAGTGCACTTCAAATAAACAGCGCCTGGAGGTTCAGCATTAGTGTCTGTTGACTTTAGGGACTCACAGGAGGAAGTTTCTCCATCGCTGCGTCATTTGCTTGGGTTTTCTGTGTGTGTCAACAGCCATGGTGAGCTTCGAGGACAGAAACACTGAAACGGCTTCCACATAAACACACATGAGTTCACAGAACCATTAGCAGACCACCGGGGCAAGTTGTCACAAGGCCTGTGTGTCACTAACTCTGAGGTTCGAGTCATACAGTTTTGCTTATTTCAAATTTTCAATTTTTTTCAAATCTAGTTCTTTCATTGTAATGCTTTTTAATGACCTTTTACATTTTTGCCATTTCATAAATTCTTTCCTAATTATGTTACTGAAAGGTTATTAAAAATCGTATAATATATTTTCAATAATGAAATGTGGTCGATCATGCCTTTTGACTTTAGATGCAACATATTTTCTCAAATCAGTGTCAGTTACAAGTAGGTTCCCAATGTGGCATCTTACCCCATATAGTGTGACAACAAGCCCCGCTTTTCAGCAAACATCTTATTCCCACCCAATACCTTTTTGTAGTCAAAACATTTAAAGTTTATATCTGTACAGAAAATAATCCTATAGAGAAACTAGTGTGACAACATGCCCCACTATAGAAGTCCACATGTGTTTAATGTACTGCATCTTTATTCCTGACCATAGAAATCAGTCAAGATCTTTAATCTTACATAATGGTTTATGTCTATACAAAAGTTTATAATCATGCACAGAAAATATAGTGGAGTAAACAGTGTGACAACATGCCCCAGTCCGCCCTACTGAGCTGCAATGTGTGTGAATATGTGTTTTTAACTCTCCGGCCTTGATATTATTATATGAGAAACCCAGAAGCAACGTTTTTAATAAAAATACTTTTAATCCTCTACTAGGATAATGACTTTTAATATTTGCTTTTCAGAAAGACACAAAGAGGTTTTGCTTGCTTTGGTTGTATTGTGACAGTGTGTGTTCACTAAGCAGGTCCAGATAGAGCTGGTTTATTTGTTAATCCAACAAACATTTCCCGTTTCATATTGTTCTCGTTGGGCACTCTGTGGCAAACGCAGTTTAGTTTGATTTGCCCAATTTTGCTTTTGCGTATTTATGGATTTACTGAGTGGAAACTCACAGACACGGAAAACACAATTAGAGGAATATTTGTGCTCAAATATTGGTCTTGTTTCGGCTCTCATTCCAGCAAAGTAATTATTGAATTTGTGGGGATCAAACAGGGCAGGCAGGTAAATAATGTCGGCCAGCGGCGGAGAATGAGAGCAAATCAAAGCCGTCATGAGTCTGTGTTTCCAGCAACTCTGAGTTTATTATGAGACGACGAACCTGCAGCACATATGAAAGAGAATAAAAGAGAGCAAATGCAGGCTCGTGACCCCAAAGTATTCATTTATTATTTTAAGTTACAGCAGATTCAAGCTTTCCATTTAATTACTATGTTCCCTGGAAATCAAATGGGAAAACAACATATGATCATTTTTAATAAATCATAAAAATGAAAAGTGATTTCATTTTTTTTTTTTTAATTCTCATTTTAATGTTGCATATCACAGTCTTTTAAAAAATACCTCTGTGTGTTGTAAATGAAGCATGGATGACTGTGACGTGAAGTCTGAACAGACATCAGCCTCATGTGTTTCTGTAGAATCGACACAGAACATGAGAAAGGCTGCGGGTGGTGGATATGTGCGGTCGAGCGTTTGGACGTTCTGCTGGATCTGAAGCACTGTAACACGGCGTCTGTGTGCTTCTAACATAGACGACTGCTGCACCCTACAGTTAGAAGACAGATCACCACCAAACTCACACGCACATTCACACATGATTCTGACTGTCCCTGTATACTGACCACAGATCCACAGAACAATCATTGATGAAATCACAGTTGCACTAAAGCGGATGACATTAAAGAATAACTGATCACAAACACCAATCATTTTTCCATATCCAGTACATTACACAGGGATTATTCATGCACAAAAAGAGACAACAGTCATGGAAAACCTGAATAAAGTAAAACTTGCCACAGTGTGTGTGTGTGTGTGTGTGTGTGTGTGTGT